ACAGACATACATAAAAAACTGATGATGATAATAATAATAATAATAACAACAATAATAATAATAATAATAACAACAATAACAATAATAATAATAATAATACAAATAATAATAACAACTATAACAGCTACAATGATAATAATAAGAACAAATAATAACAATGGAAAAGTTTATACTACTTATAAATAAATAAATAATTATAATGACGAATGAAAATAAAAATATGAAAAAACGAAACGAAAATATTAAATAATAATAATAATAAATAATAATAATAGTGATGATGATAATAATAATAATAATAATAACGGAACAATGTGGATAATGAAGCAGAAGAAGAGCTTCAATCTTCTGAACCATCAAACCTGTAGTTGAAAAAATGTTAGGATGATTATATCATTATTATTATTACTATTGTTATTATTATTACGCTGATGAACATACAAATTACAAACCACAAACAAACATAACACAAAACAACAACATACAACCCACATACAAACCCCATAAAAACTACAAACAAACCACATACAAACATCGTTCAAACAAACCACATACAAACCACATGCAAACAACACACAAAGCACATACAAACCACATACAATCAACACACAAACAAACCACATACAACCCACATACAAACAAAACACAAACAACACACAAACAACACACAAACCACATACAAACTCCATAAGAACAACATTCAACCACATAAAAACTGCAAACAAACAACATACAACTCACATACAAACCACATATAAACAACACACAAACCACATACAAACCGGTGTTATACAAATTGTGTTTGTGGATTTCCTTCATTCAGAGTCCTAAAAAAAGACAAATCATACAAATATAAAAGCATAATTTAGTATACATACACACACACACACACACACACACACACACACACACACACACACACACACGATATATATATATATATATCGTGGTAGAGGTGGTGTACTTTATGTGCTTGTACTGGCCAATTGAGGGAGCAGGTCGAAAATTCTCACCCCATGTATACCTAACCAGGTCAGGGAAAGGAAAAAGAGAGAGAGGGAGGGAGAGGAAAAAGAGAAAGAGGGAGAGAGGAGAGAAAGAGAGATTTAATCAATCATTCATTCATTCAATCACTCATTCGTTCATTTCCTAATTCCCTCACTCATGCATTCACACATCTAAGAATAAGTAAAGTTACACAGAAGAGAGAGATTGAAAATGTCTGAATTTATGAGATTAGTGGTGATGTAAGCATTGTTGGATACTACCACCATTAATTTCCAAAGTGGTTTTACAACATTTGCATCGCATCACTGCAATAACAAATCTCGAACGCCTGATTACAAGATTACAATTTGTGGATGAATCGAGGGAAGAAAGCAAGAAAGAAAGATAAAAGGAAAGAAAGAATGAATGACTGAATGAATTAATGAATGTACAAATGAATAATTGACTGAAGTAATAATACAAAGATAGTACACAAATTTATGCCTACGGATGGATAAATACATAAGGGTGAGTCATCATAATCACCTACCTACCTAGGAACCAACCAACCAACCAGCCAGCCTCTCATACAAACTCATTAACATATAAACAAATGTATACAAAATTGTATATTATATAAATTAAATAGATGCTAAACTTATTCACACGCATACGTACACATAGAGAGATAACAAGAGAGAGAAAGAGAAAATGAAAACTAGAGAGAGAGAGAGAGAGAAACAGGGAGAGAAAGAGAGAGAGTTATTTAAACACGCTTCACATACCAGAATGATAGTTTTAATGAAACGCTTTTTAAGAAAGAATTAAAAAAGCAAGAAATGATCAGCCGATTATGACTAATTAGAACCAACGCCAGCTGTTGTGCACTTGCTTGCATCCCAACTTAGGCTCTGCGCACATTTGTTCAGTAGAAAACCATTCCTACTGACTAATAACATTCCTACTGTCTAATCAATCAACCAAATGAAATCAAACCAGCTCAAAAGTTCACTGGCTCCACCAGCCTACAGAATCATTATCAACCAAAATAGTAGTAATATCGATAACAATAATAGTAATGATAAGAATAATTAGTAATGATAGTAATTAACATTAACAGGTTGATTTTTTGACTGAACAACATTAGATAAAAATTTTAAACTCCCTGCACCAGCACTTTGAACTGAACAGAAATTGGATATCTTAAATATATCCCATGAAAAAAATTAAATAATAATAATAATAATTATAATATCAATAATGATAATAAAAGAATAGGAACAATAACAAATAGAAAAATAATAATAACAACAACCACAATAACAAATGATAATAATAACAGCAATAATAATAATAAATTGAAACTTACAAAACTAGATGTCAGTACATTAGGGTGATTTCTTTTTATTGCTTCTTCAATCGTAGCTCGCCTGGCAATAGTGGATGAATGATTTTTAAAACTTTAATTAAAATACGTACAGATATACATTTTCATAAATTAAATTTTTTTTATTATTATAAAATTCCCAACTCAAAAAGCAAGACAGTGTAATGGCTAAAGAGCTTGGTTGATCCAGTAATTTTAAATTATTTTTCATTTCAAGTGGTTCGTTGTCCATACAATTTACACAACCGTGCAGTACCCACAAAGAGATGAGCGAATTGGAACGCCAGACAGGAAAATTGCTATGGATCATGTGAACGAACTTCTGGAGAAACAAAGAAGAAGGCTATCAAATAGATATATACGAAAATTAGTCGAAACAACACAACAAACATCATTTGTTGGACGAAGATATTGAGAAGTTAATTCCGTTAAAGGAAGAGATTTTTCTCACTCACTGGCACAGACTATCAACACGACATCATGAAGCAACCCAAAAGCTTGTACGGCGCTCAGCATCCGTTAAAAAAGATAACAGTTGCAAGAGGACATAGAAGACGAGAAAGATATTTTTAGTGGAGGCAAAGAACTTGTGATTATCAAACGTTACAGAGTGCCCTTCATCGAGAAGGCTACTAAAAATGAATGTCCTGCCAGTTGCCAGTTTAGAAAATTTTGAAGTAGGTTAAATAAAAATTTCTATAAGAAAATTCCAGTTTAAATATTAAAACACAACAACAACAACACACGTTTAGACGACATTTTCCCCGAGATCGGGGGTTGCCGGTTGGCTACCTAAGATGAAACCGAAATACCCCTCGACGCCATCCACATCTGTCACTCGCCTCAGTATCACGCAACCCCGCTTTCACCCTGTCCTTCTCCACCTGCTCTCTCCATCCCAATCGCGGACGACCCCTTCCTACCACTCCTTCAACCTCGAACTCCAACGCTCGCCTAATCCCGACCCTTTCATCCCTTCTCAACACATGTCCATACCACCGCAATCTCGATCTCCTTATCAATGTCACACTGTCCTCATTCAGTCCCATCATCGACATCAGCTCTGTACTACTCCTCCTATCCTTCACTTTAACCCCAACATCATCCTCATCATAGCTCTTAAAACACAACAGAACGTAAACCAAAATTTAAAAGTAACACAACTAAACCTAAACTTAACACAACTTACACCAACAAAACAACACAGCCCAAGAATACAGCATAACTTAAACCAACACAACAACACAACTCAAGAATACATCACAACATAAACCAACACAACAACACAGCTCAAGAACACAAATCACACAAAAAAAATAAAACTATCAGATAAACCCTGACAACAGCACACCCCACTAACTTAGCATTAAGGCCCCCACCAGGCGGCAGGCCAGGGATGTCCTGCATGGAGAGCAGGTGCATTATGTACTGAACGTGTGAGGATTCTGGCGGATTTACTGTTAGGATATCTGAAATGGAGATACGTTATCAGTATTAAGTATTTTCTTATCAAGAGTAAATTATGGATGTTAAGATTATCATATAAAAGTGACAATTATATATGTATATATAGATATATATAAAGATATATACATATATATATATAATTATATATATATATATATATATATATATGTATTTGTGCGTGTGTATGCTTTTACAATAAATATACGTTTTGGTTAAATGCTAGTTGGCTAATAAATTATACAATTTCAAATTCTAAGTTTAAAAATTTTATTGAATTTAATAAAAATTAAACGAAACAAAATGGCATAGAGGCCTGGTTGAGTCTGGAAAAATATTTTTACATCTAAATTTGAAGAAAGAGGGACGACGTGAATGACTTGAATTGCAATGAACTAAATAGAGTCAGATGATGACTAACGATGATGGAGATGTAGAAGTGAAGAAGTTTAAATTGCAAACAAATTTACATTCAATTAAGTAATGTCAATATATAATTATCTGATCGTATATGCATTTACAATCAATAACCACAAGTAAATATTAAAAGAAATAAATCATACAAAAAGAAGGAAGAGAAAATTTAGGAAAGGTAACTGCTCGGAATGAAACGGGCAAATATTGGAGTGTTAAATCACTCATCCAACTGAGACGATGTTTCAATGTTTTAACATTGAGAATTAATGTAGTTATGAACCCGAAATAATTTAATTACATTAATAATAATAATAATAATATTACTATTATTATATCATAATAATAAATCACATAAAAATTATATGTAATGCACAGTTCTATTTTGACGCATAAAATTTTTTTATAGAAAGAAAGAGAAATTACTAGACAATCTTTTCAAAACAGGCAAATTATATTTCCCAAAAAAATTACAAACTAGCTAACAATTAGTAAAGAAACCTGAGATAAGAAATGATTCATTGAAAATGCAATACATACACTGCAGCTGTAAATTATTATAAAATATCTCTTGGGCAGGTATGACTCAGCAAAATGACAATAAAAAAAAATTAAAGTTGAAACGTTTCATAGCCTGAAATATGTTCATATATTATTTTCCACCTTGACGCAATGTTCACAGGATTATTTTTTTTTAAACTTTTGTGAAACATTTCAACATAACGTCAATAAAATGTGAAACAAATATCAATAACATAACATTAAATTAAGATGAAGTCAAACCAAAAAACAATGGAATGAAGCAATAAATTATTTCTTTTTAAAGTTTCGGTTGGTTACATTGTAATGAACATTTTAAAAAAATTAACTGATAACAAATCACCCAACGAGTCAAAACTTTATATTGATAGCACCATCACCATCACCATCTTCATTATTATCAACATCATCATCAAAATTATCCTCAAGAACATCTTTAAAGTCGAAATCTCGAGCACCTTGAATCTTTCTCTCGAGAAGCTCGTCCAGTTCGGCCTCCCTGTCCAGTGCCTGTTGCGATAAGCACGGCCAGCCAGCGAATGCCACAATTACGATGCTCATGTTGTCTCGGCTACCCTGCACATGTGCAAAGTGGGGTAGGTAGGGTTTCGTAAAATAAAAAATAAACTTATTAACCATCACAAGATATTATAAAGATCAAACTCCAGAAAAATAACAATAAACTGAACAATAGTTGGTTAAACAACCAATAAACCAATCGGAAAAAAGTAATTTTTCTCATTAAATAATAAAGCTAATGATAAATGAAATAAAATTTCTGGTGACGTGACTAGTTTCATGGTAAGATTACAACGTGGCACGAACTTTTGAGAGGCAAGTGTCCACGACACAGCTGCAGATGGCTTCAAGGTCATCAGTAATCCTCATGCGAGACCTCACGAAATCGCACAACTCGTCATTGCTCATGACATCCCAAATCCCATCACATGCCAAAATTAGGAACTCGTCCTCATCCGTTCTGTCTAGTGAGGATATCTCCGGCTCTGGAGATACCAACTGCTCGCACTGACCTTTACCTTCAACGTTTTTGTAGTCAAAATCACCAAGAGCCCTTGAAACTGCTAGAGAACCATTGACCCTTTGTATCATGACACTGCCTCCTGCATTTTGTATTCTTTCTCTTTCTTGTGGGTTGATTGGTTTGTGATCTAATGTATTGAAAACACATTTACCAGCTCGGGAGAGGACCATTCTCGAGTCACCGCAGTTCGCCACAAATACATGTTTTGGTGAAATTAGTGAACAGACTGCCGTAGAACCACTTTTGTCCTCACCATTATTTTCTCGAATTTCATCATCTAATTTAAGAAAGCCACTTTTTATGCCATTGATGACTGTTTCTGGAGTTAAAGTACTTTGGTCGTTTATTTCTGATTTAAATTCATTACTCTCAACTATAACTTCTAATAATCTCTTGGCACAGTACTCAGAAACTTTAGCACCAGCGTGTCCATCGAAAACGGCAAAGAAACTCCAATCATTGAGTTGACTGAGAGGTAAGCCAATGGTAGCGCAGTGGGCATCTTCCATTTCCACTCTCCATCCCTGCATACTACTGACACCATATTTCAGGCCATTCCCTGTTCCTTTCTCAGTGTGTTTCTCTGTTTTTGGTTTGTCTAAAAATGCACCCATACCTGAAATTGTGACATAATAAACATTTTAAAATAAATGAAAATTATATGTCAGGAAAAATCATTGAATAAAAATTAACTATTGTACTAATAATATAAATAAAAAAATGATATTTCATGCTGTTATTCCTACGTCACTAATAACTATACAATCCGTTGTTAATCTGTCCGCGTACACTACAGTATCATACAGTTTAATTAAATAAAAGTAAGTAAGCTAAGAAGTAAGAAGGTAAGCTTTTGCTTTGTTGGTTCTGGCTTTGGTTTTCCTTTTCGAATGATAGAAAACTAACACTAGCAGTTAGACAAGTGAAAAAAGTAAAAATTTGACAAAATTTGATTTCAGGAAATAAATCCGAAGTAAAAATTTTCAAACGCCAACTTTTAGTTTCGTGAGAACTTCGCAATCTTCACTTTTTAGATAATAAAGACGATAATAAACAAGGAAAACAAATTGAAAAGATGCGCTTGATATCGGCTCTTCAATAAGACGAATAAAATATTTTAACAGTTACTTATGCTATATTTGACAAAATTTAAACATAACTTTTTTTGAAAATTTTTTAAAAAATGATGATGTCAGCAAGTTAGAAATTTTTATTACAAAAATTTATACTTCATTAAAATCGAATATAAAATATTAAACTAATTTCATATTAATCGGTGGTTGCCAAGCTTAAGCAAGAGTTTTCCAGCACAACCTGATTATCGTAGTTATGCCCGTTAACTAATCGTGAATTTTATCTCATTTGAGGACTTTTCTCTAATTAAGACATAAATATTGAAGTTAGGAAATAAAATTGTTTTTTTTACTTCATAAAAAATGACAAGTTCTACAGCAGGAGATGATTCGGCGCATATGACACCTGAAATTATTCGCTACGTTATCGACGGCGACATAGATGGCGTTCGTCGACTGTTAGCGGAAGGAGTATATGTGGACTGTCAGGATAGTTCGGGGATGACTCCACTTCAACAAGCGGCTTACAAAGGAGACCTTGATATTTGTGATCTGTTGGTGAAAAATGGGGCAAATGTCAATGCAAATTATCACAATCAGGGCTACACAGCTCTCATGTTTGCTGCTCTATCTGGCAGCAAAAAGGTGCCATTCATTTACTTTACATTTTTATTTTGTTAGTCAAAATTTGAATGGCTGAAAGCTTGTCATGCTTTCATGGCAGGCATAATTCTATCTAATTAACAAAACGTATAAACATGAAGGGGTGTGGTGTGTATTTTTGTGAAAAAAATCTGATATATATATATATTATATATAATATAATTCTTAAATTAAATAGGTGGTAAAGTTTTTGTTGGAACATGGTGCCTCCACAACCATGGTAAACTCAGTTCATCGAACAGCATCACAAATAGCTGGTTTCATAGGCCAGCATGAAATTGTCACCCTAATAAGTAATTTCTTCTCTCAAGATGAAATCGACTACTACTGCATTGCGAGAGGTACTGAAAAGGAGCCTAAATTACCTCGACATCTATCCAGCTCTGTCTATAAATTTTGCACCACTATTAGTCTCAATCCAATCAAGTTGGTCTTTCTTCTACAAAGCATGCCAGAAATTTTAAATTTATCGACAAAAGTTTTGAAAGTTCTTGAACTGTTATGTGAAAAAATGATGAAAAGAAAAGAAACTGATGAGGTGATGGCTCTTAGGTTGAAATCATTTCTTCATTTTTCTTTTATAGTTTTGTTCATTGAAATGCCCTGATAATGAAATATATCGACGGTTTGTATTTAACAGATTTCACTACCTGTTCACAGTTCTTACAGAAGCAGTGAAGTTCAACAAAGAACACGGTGACAACCTCGAGTCGTACATAAAGCATCTCATCAAGGGCAGACTGTCAGATGGTTTCCCTGTGAATCAAGAAATCTTAGTTAGGGAAACATTAAGAACCTTTCCATACCCTGAGTGTCAGCTAATGCATCAAGCAGTTCGAAGCATCACTAGCATCAACTCAAGCGGGAATGCAACAGCCATATCAGTTCTGCAGTCTGCCATCAATGGCCAGAGGTATGTAGTTGGTACACCCACATACATCTAAATGAAATTTTGTAATAAATTTATTTAAATAAAGAATTTATTAAGACCTGTAATATTTTAACCTCCATGCATCAAAATTTTTTGTTTGCAACTTGCTTGCTATCATGGTGCTGTACTGAAAATATTTTATGGCAGTTTGTATTAATTTTCCTGTACAGAATTTATTGCTAGACTGCTAACCTGCTCTTACTGACGTCACATTTCCCATGTCTGTACACATTCATTTATAGACATACAAATTGCATTTGTGTAGTGAGACATTAAAATTCATATCCAACATACAAATCATATTTCTGCCTGTAGGATGGCGTCAGATGAAGACAGGCAATGCAGTACGTGCGGAGAGTACAATGGGAAAGCGTGCAACTCCTGCCACTCCGCACACTACTGCGACAAACGATGCCAAAAAATTCACTGGCACCTGCACAAGCGTTTCTGTGAGAAACTTGCCCTACAGCATGAGAGAAAAGAACTGATGAAGAAGATGGAGGAGGGAGGAAAGAAGAAGAATGGTAGCAGTACTGATGATAATGTTGGTGATAGGAATAATAATGATGTGGGTAGGAATGATGATGTTGAGAGTAGTGTTGATGATAACGTTTGTGGAAAACGTGATGTTGGAGTTGCTGAAACTTGTCGTGGAGATAACAATAGCAATGATGATATCAATAAAATTAATCACAATGTTAGCAGTTTGGGTATTGGTGATGTAAAAAGTGATATTGGCTCAGTGAAAGGTGATACTGTTTCAAATGAAAATTAGTTAGCCAGTTTATGTTTTAGGCACTTGTTCATGATCATATTATTTTTGTGCTTCAGTGTTGGTTAGGAGTTTCAAATGTATTTTAAATTCTAATTATGACTACGTTGCATTTTCAATTGTGCTATTTAGTTATTATTTGTTAGGATCATCATAGCTGTAGATGTTAGGATCATCATAGTTGTAGATGAAAGTTCAATGATTTAAAGAATACAATCTTTTTTCTAATTTTTATCTTTTGTGAACTTTTTCACAAAAAAAATTGAATAATTAAGTTTGCAGAAAAAATTTGAAGGCTTTATATTTTTAATTGTGCAAACATCACAAAAGTAATGGTGATTAATTATGTTTGTTTTAGTTATTTTCAAAAAATATCAGTGTGTGTAAAAAAGAATACAAGTGCAATATAATTGTGAAAGTATAACAAAAATGAATTAGCTGTCCATCGCTGTTTCTTGAGAGTATTCATTTTTTTGAAATGAGCATTGTTTATCATGATTATGTTGACTTTGTTGAGGATGAAGCTACTGATGTCGATGTTGTCGGCACTGATGTGTTTGTTGGTGATGTTGCTGGCGTTGATGCGTTGCTTGATGACTTTAGCTTGGCTGTAGACAGAATATTTTCTTCAACAGATGACGTAAATGAAGCTTCTAATGTAGGAAAAGGTTTTGAAGGTTTCAAGTGAGGTATGGCTGAAGTTTTTTTGATCTGCGGTGTAGATATTCTTTTGATTGTTTCGATTGAGCTGCTTGTTAATGGTGCTTCAATTGTTGCTGGTGTTGCTATACTTGTGATTGTTGAAGTCATTTTTGCTTTACTTGTAGCTGTTGATGACGTTGTTGTACTTGTGATGGTTGATGAAGATGTTGGTGAGGCTGTTGTTGGAGATATTGGTAAAGAAACTGTTGAAGTTGTTGTAGTTGATGTTGGTGTCGTTGATTTTGCCAGTGTTGATGTCTGTAATGTCGATTTTATTGGTAAAGAAGGCATAGAAAATGTCGTTGATGCTATTGATGAAGATGTTGTTGGAAGCATCTCTGCAGACATACTCATTTTTTTGGTTGTGAAGTACAAGTTTGAGTCAAATATTTGTGTCGGCTCATACTTAAACCCTTCTGAAATACTTGAACTTGCTTTCTTAAAACAAAACAGAAATTTGTTTTTATGTATTTGCCAAAATGCCCATTTAAGATATTTAATTACGAAAAAGAGAAAAATTTTTGGAAAAGAAAGCTACGTAAAATTGTATAAGAAACTAAAAAAATTAACTTTTTTGAAAAACGGTATCACAGATAATGCTTTCTTTATGGGATTGACATTAATATCTGAATAAGCTTTCTCAACAGCTGCCTCAAGTTCTTTCACTTGCCCTTTCACCATATTCAAAAAAGCCTGAAAATAAATAAATTTATGATTTGATCTCAATTCTTATTTAAATATTGTAAAGACAAATCATTATAAATCTTAGATTTATTGTTTCATGTTGCCTGATGTTCAACTGATGAACCTCTAATTTGTCAATTTTTTCAAAATATCCATCCATGTCTTGACACCTCTGTTTGATTTCATTCATCGTTGTTTCAAGGGCCATTGTACTATCAATTCTTATCTGAAAATCATTGACTGACATTCATATTCAATACAAAATCATATTTTGCAGAAGCTTTGGTAATATCTCTTCTCATTGTTTGGTTTAGTAGAGTCAATAGATCGAATATTCTTTGAATGAATTTTATTTAAAAATTAAAATCACCAACCAAGTCAACATCATCTACTGATTTTTCTAATTTGACGAGTACTTCGTCAAGTGATTCCATAAAATGTTCTTTCTAAAAAATAATAGAAACAAAAAATTAAATTTTTTAAATTAATTAATTTTTAAAAATTTTTTAAATTTTTATTTATTTAAATAAATTTTCATTTGAATATTTGAAAACAATTTGTTTTCATATTCAAAAAAATTTTAATTCTGATTCATTATTAATTATTTCTATCTTTTTTATGTCTAACATATCATTGATTAAAAATTACAATAATAATTCATAATCAATGTATTAATGTAATATAAAAATTAAATAAAATGAGCTGTAAAAAAGATGTTACATCAAAAATTCAGAAAAAATATTGTCATACTCATCATATTTATAATAATAATACGAAACAAATCATATCATATGATATATGATCTGATTCTTGGATCTTGTGGAGTTTTCAACAGACATTACAGTTAAACAAAAGTGCATTGATACCAACAGCTGAAACAAACTAATTCCTAACTTCTTTAACATCTTTCACGTCCAACAATAACGTAAAATCTTTTGCAACTTCTCTTAACAAGTCCTCGCTTTCTTTCTGGCCTGAAGCCATTTTTATTGTATTTACTTTATAAAACTTAACTTAACTAAAAATTGTTTAAAAGTGAGCTTCAACTATATTGCTACTGTTTTCTAACATTTTCTAAAAATTCAGTTCACAAAATGATTCAGTCTAAATAACTGAAACAAAATTAACATTTTTAAAATGTAATTTTTTTTACATTATATAAATATTAATAGACATTAGGATATGAAATATTTCAATATCATCACAACACAACAAAAAAATAAATATATATATATGTGTATATCTATATATGTACATAGAGTAAAATACATATATATATATATATATATATATATATATATATATATATATAGAATAAAATACATATTAATCTCGGGCTAGAGTAAAACATAAGACTTTCATTCAAATACCATACAAGCATGCATCATATGGTGCATAGAAAACCTCATACTTAGAATATATGCAGATAGTGATATATCTATATCTATTGTGATATATCTATATCTGTATAACACATGTGTGTATGTTTATCTAGTAGTTTAACCAGCTTTTTGCTTATACGTTCTATTTCATATTGTTTTTTTTTTTACTTTTATTTATTTTTAGTTTAGTTTATTCTTGCAATTATATTTATTTGACATTGTTGGTTTATGGCTAAAGTGAAAATAAACTTCGCACACGGTTTCATTCAGAGCGTAATCAAAAATCAAATCGACAGGTAAAAATATATACATAATACAATTTCCATTTTTTTAGCCCAATTAATTTTGATTTTTTCTGTATAATAGTAATATTTAATAGAAATAATAATGAATATTGTTGTGTTTTATTCGATTTCAGGGATAATTATGAAAAAGAAGTACAGGCAAAGCTGAAAATTAAAGCAAAGGCAAAGAAAATCAATAAAGCAAAAAAGCCAGATATGTGTCACTACAAACCACCTGCTTTTAAAAGTCATTATCCACCTTTGTTAGAATTTTCAATTTAACTTTCAAGAAAAAAGATTTAAAAATGTTAGTTAATCTGTTTCTAGATGAAAATAGCAGTGACAACAAAGTACTATTCATCTTTGAGTATGAGGATAAAAAAGGTGAAATAAATCAATTGGAAATATATAGGGTTGTTGTTTGAATTTTTTAAAATAGAAATTGAACTATACGTAATTAATAACGGTCCTTATTTATTTAATAATTTAATTTAGCATTCGTGTATCTGTGATATAGCTGCCAGTTTAAAGATGAAACACAACCTGACTGAAGAGATGAGAAGTGCCCTTGAACTTTTCCTCAACACAGAAATTAAAAAAAGAACAATTTAAGAACCAAAGTCAATATATTAAAATGCCTTATTTTATATGTAATATTAACGTGGTCAGTTTGTATATGGTCAACTTGTCATTGCATTTAAATTTTTGTAAAATTCTTATTTCAAACTGAATAACTTTTACGCACGATCGTTTAATAAATTCTAGTCAATATCCTGCAAAAAGTAACATGTTTGTTAAATTTCATCCCAAATTTGTACATAAAATGTGTGCGTGCGTGTACGTCTGTGTGTGTGTGTATATGTGTGTGTATGTGTAAATGAGCTTACGTACGCGTGGTTAAAAATTTGTGACATAAAAAGATGAATATTCGAATCACACGTAACAATGTAAACCTTCATACGTTCTTTTCAGAAATTTATGGCTTTTCGTTACCCATACAGACGCCTTTTAAATGTGTTTAAGTTATGTATTATACCTATCGCTTTGCTTCGGTTCGGGTCTATCTATCTATCTGTAGACAAGAATCAATCACATTTGACAGCTGTGTAAAAAATATTGAAAAGAACGAACAGTTTAAGTTATTGGGTAAGAACGCTTAAGATTGAAAGCTTTACTTGGCAACTTTTTAACGTGAGTACATACATTATATTGACAACTACATGCTCTTAAAAGTTGTTAAGTGAATTAAGCGAAAAACGGTACGTGGAACATAAACCATCAGTCTTACAGCATTAAGTTTGAAAATATTTTTTAACTTCTGGCGGAATGTTTATTCATACGTACAGGCGTTAACTTTAAACGTTCGCACGGATAATTGTAGTTATATGTAGGTATAAAGTTTTTATTACAAATGTATGAACCTATATAAACTCTTCAATAAACTTAAAAGATTTAACTGTTAGAGTTCGTAAGGACACGACAACAGGCGTTGCATTACGAGGCATTGAGTGATAACATTTTAAATATTCTTCCTTTTGTAAGCCATGTGTATAGAATATCGATGCTGTATAAGCGTACATACGTACATATACATACATACGTACGTACATTACATACATACATACATATATATATACATACATACATACATACATACATACATACATACATACATACATACATACATACATATATACATACTTACATACATACATATACTTTATATCACACACATAATATATATAACGTGGAATCCTATGAAGTGTCTGGAGTGCAGACGGACGAACCGAACGCATTATAAAGAAGTCCAGGCAGACTCCTTTGAACTTCCCTCTTTTCCATGCTTAATATCAACTACCATTCATGACGCCTGCCTTGCCTATGTATGATGCTTTCCACAGTTTAAAACTTACAAGGAGTTCTTCATGGGCAAATTATATTTTTTGTAACTTATTAACTGAATCGGCTGACTAACTTTCGTTGTGATTGAATCGGGTTGATTAAATTTAATTCGTTCGCTCGTTAGTTAGCATGGAGCAGATAGTGTATGTGGAAATGAGAGTGAATGTATGAGAATATGACGGCCGTTGATAACTGAGATTTCTTTGAAATAAATTATAACAACGAGAAATTGATTTCTAGTACTAACCTTTAAATTAAATGTTAGTACTAAACGGTTTAATCATGGTTGCTGAATATCATGCTGGATGTGTTTCACATACGTTGTGCGTGTGTGTGCGTGTGTGTGCTTATGTGCGTGCGTGTGTGTGATCTTCAATTACTTTCTGAAGGAATTGTAATGGAATATTTTTATACTTATTTTAGTTATAAATGTTATAATATAATTTTGTATTTAATAATGTTGCAATATAATTAATAGAATTGTCTCGATTAATTCATTTGTACTAAAATTAAAGTTTTATCATCACACGTGCACTCACGAATGTATGTATTCACATTCACATTCAGGCACAATCTAGCATCTACGATTGTTTAGCTCACACAAATCACACGATATATGGAACGCACACTACATATAATGAGCATAGATAGATGAATGCAAGCACGCACGCACACACACACACACAGACAGACACACACAGACATACACAGGCACACACCTATTGAGATAAAGATAGGAATGAAAGATGAGGAGAAAGTCTTCATATAAAGAAGGAAGCTGGGAGTTTTACTTATAAACGTTTCATGACCTATGTCGAGTTTTTATGATGGATTGTGTTAATAAATTAGTATTTTTATACATTCGAGAATGTTTATTTTGTTTGTGGCTAACTCAATATGAATAAATGATTTAATATAAAAGTATATTTGCACCTTAAATTATTTTAATTTTAAATAATGATCATAAAATGTAGCGAGTGTTTTTAAATTGATTTTTCTACAAATCGTTTTTTTATTTCTTTATCACAAACAACGTTAAAATTTAATTGCCTGAAACGTTCTTACCGTCTTTCAATGAATTAAAATATAAGATATTCTACTCGTCTGCCCAGTTTTGCGCCAACCATGTTTGAAAAATCTGCCCACGGAATACCACCAGGTGGATTAACTTCACAGCAGTCAAAAAAATTAACGAAACCAGATGATAAATGTTTGAAATATACTTTGGCGTACAATCTAGTACAAAATCTTCTCATCATACTTCTATTTTGCATCGTGGTCATTTATTTTGAAAGAAAGGTCGACCATTTGGAAGCGCGTTTAAGAAGTGTTGAATCGAAGTTCGCATCTAATTATGACGTCAACAAGTTTTCAAAGGGCGAAAATACAGTGAGTATTACATCCAATTATTTAAATTTAATTTAAAATTATTTATTTCTGTTTCAAATAATTATAACCATGTTTTAAATTACTATTGTATGACCAAACTTTGGTTTCAACCTCTTGCTACGATTAGAACAAACAGTTGTGCAGTTGAGAATAGAAACAGCAATGCAAATATATAAAAATATAAGAAACAGAAGAAATTTATTTATTAGTAGCCTCAGGCATGCTTGGTCCGATGATCAGACCGTGAAAAGTAAACGAACATTCTCGCATTCTCGCTCTTGTCTTATTATTGAAGAACACGCCTCGAGATAGCAATAAATTTCATTCAACTTCTTGTTACGGTCTAATTTGAAGATGTTCCAAGTCCGTTTAGCAAAATTTATTTGACATTTTAAAAATTTATTTTCTTTTATTCAGCTGACGCTTGTGGAAACAACATCACCGCCTCTAATTTATTCTCGGAAAATCAGGGAGGTAGGATCCTGTGCTTGCCCGCCTGGACCCCCAGGTAATTAACGTTTTACCCAAAAATTAACATATTTTTAAAAATCAACATATTTTTAAAAATTTACATATTTCAAAAATTAGCTCCATTTAAAATTTTAATTATTGAACTTAGATTAGATGAAAATCTCATCAGGATGATAGTAATCTGCCTAGCGATAATTATAAAACATGAACTTACATAATTAAATACAAATTTTAAAACTATTTTTTTACATCTTTCATTCCCATATATTTTCAGATAAAAAGCAACCTTTTAAAATTTAAAAACGATCCATTAATTATGCCGGAATAAAATGTTTTTTTAGTGTCAAATTACATTGTGAATTGTTTTTTAAATAGCAGTCTCACCGACGATCCGCTAGGTTTTTTTTTCTCTTATTTCTCTTATAATCTTAAATATGCTCAACTGGATTTTCTACAAGTTAAACTACAAATTTTTAACATTTTTCTTTCATAATTTGACGTTTTATTATTCGAATACCATAAATTTTGTTATGTAAAACAGTAAAAAATCGTTCCAAAGATAATAAATATAATTTGTAGTTCGAGTTAAACGGAAAAGATAAGTGCTCAAAGCAT